TGAGATAAGGGAACAAGGGAAGGGGGTGAAGTATCAGGAAGAATGTCAGGAGGGGAGGGATCAGGAGGACATAGGGGACTCACATGAGCATCAAGGTGGAGTGGCCAAGATAAAAAGGATGAAAGAGGGAGTGGTGATGCACATGGAGGAAGAGAGGATGGGTGTTTTTTTTTTTTTTTTAGGAAAGTGGGGAGGGGTAGGGGGAAGTTGAGGAGGAGGAGGATGGACATCGGCAAATACTTTGAATGTAGAGCGAATGGGAATAGAGGAGTGGAGCATTTTCTTGGGTCATGCTTAGGAAATTTTGGATGTCTTCAAGAGTTTGTGGAAGGAAGGTGAGTGGGTAGGTCTGAAAAACAAAATTTTTTTATGTGGAGGAGAAGAGAAAATAGATATCCAAAGAGCACAGGGAGATGGGGTGGAGCATTTAGATTGTCTGGTGCGACAGGTAAAGTGAGAAAGAGCACCGGGAAATGGTAAAGATTGGAGTAACTGGATTTAGACTTGAAAAGGAATTTGACAGGGGAGATAGGATGGTGTGGGATAGAGAGGAAATACTGGAGATGCTGAGACCTCTTGAAAAGATGGGAAGGGAGCGGAGTGAAGAACAGTTTTGGAATAGGTAGAAAAAGAAAAAAACTAGTCAGTGTGTTTCTTCTAAGGCCTCACGCAGAGTGATTAATAAACAAGTATGTGTATGTTTACATTTGCTTTCATTCACTCAAATACAAAACAGCTTAGGTCTTAATTATAATTCCCAGGATAAAATAAACACTTATGTTTCCTTAATATATTAATGGACAACCATAATGTATACACTGTAAACTGAAAAATGTACAGTATCCTTTAATGTTCCCTTTGGGATCATAATGGTACATAACTTATATATTATTGTATTTTAAAGGTCTATAGTTCATCATAGGAAAAAATTCTTACCAACAGAAAAAGCAACACATGGCAAGATTTATATTTATATGAATGATGTGCAAATATTTATCATTACAAACAATATTTAGCAACACATCAATTATCATTTGGTTGCAATTATAGTTAAAAACAGGAAAAAGTTACATAAAATTATTATTTTTTCAAATGTCCTTAATATTTTTAAAATACTTTTTGCATATATATATATATATATATATATTAATCTTTCTTTCCACACAGAACTGCGGGTTAATGAAGGACACGTACATATTAAAGCTTTAATTAATCAAATAACATTTCCGTTGATTCTACATGTATAAGTTAATGGAAAGTTAGCAGAGAATGATTCATGTTCCAATTCATTCACTAGTGTTCTGGACAACGATCAGCATGTACTCCTTATCTGAAATAATATAAAAATCTTTATTTACCATTTTTCTCTTGTACATAATGTGAAAAAGTGGAGGAAAATATCAATTACTATCTTTATTAGTATATATAATAACTATACACATTCATGCCTCTCTGACAAGTTAACCCATTCGCCCCACGTGGCAAGAATAGATGCCATGCCCACTTTGATACACGTTTATTTATTGTATTTACACATAGATGGCTCCACAAGTTCTTAATCACCAAATAGCCAGTTATCAAGAACTACCTATTTCACCTGTTTACCCTTTTCCTTCACTTTAGGAAAGGGATTTTTGTATCATTTCATTGTCTAAAATATTCTATTAATCATCACAACATCAATAACAATAATAACAGTATCAATAGCAATGGTATTAACTTTCCCGCCAATTCAATGAATTGAAAATCAGGGTCGGTAACTAGGGCCTACTGATAGACTCCTTGCCGGCTGAGCACATGTGGAGCCATCTGTATGTAACAAAATTCACCAAAAACTACAGGGGACAGAACATAAATCCGGGGCGAATGGGTTAAGCCGCAGCTATAATAAGCCAGAATAATAACAGCCTTTGACATTTATAAAACAGCTGGCCACACTATTCTCTGTTATACCACTCACATGCTAACCGGGCTGTGAAGCCATACCTCATTTCTAAAAAAGTAATTAACCTGCTCATATACAATGGGCATTTTTTTTTTTTTTTTTTTTTTCCCCACTTTTTTGCAATACGTAAACGAATGCTTTTATTACTATTATTTTTTTTAAAGAATGTTTAAGATGGTAACAAAAAATATAAAACTAGATATGCAAGGGTGCAATGGTATTCCCCTGGTGAATTGTTGAGATGGCAGAAAAAATGCGATTAATTAACCACATATATTGCAGGCAACACCCACCTGGAGCTATCATAATCTCATGCTTCTTTGATCGAACTCTGAGGAATGTCAGGTCGTTTGTTGGGTCCAAGTCACGGACAACACTCCGAGCCTTGTCAGTTAGGCCGCTGATGAGCCCAGTATACTGAATGGTAGTAGGATTGTCCAATGTACTCTTGATAGGGATCCCTGAAATAAATATTGTAGATAGCAAATTGTATTGAAAATTATTTTAGATACAATTTTCTATATGAACTAAAACACACACACACACACACACACACACACACACACACACACACACACACACACACACACACACACACACACACACACACACGAATCTAGGTGTCTGTAGGTGACTCTGATGTCAGAGCCGGAAGAGTAATAAAACTGAGACACGATAAATAAATGTGGAAGTGAATGATGATAAATGTGGAAGTGAATCTGGTTTAGTAAATACTACCTGTTTTGAGACAAGGTATTCAGTGTGTACATAATAAGGGACGGAGAAAGGCCCTGAAGGCAACACCTACCTTCTGCATTGACCACTATGACCCCAACCACACCCTTGTGGGACTGGATTCTCTTCAGAGTTTCCTCTACTTCAGCAGACTGAAAAAAAGAGATAAACATATTACCTAGCTGTATTGTTTTAATACAATGACATATAAAGGAGTTTGACAGTTCAAAGAAACACTGTTTTTATGTTTCATATGTGTGTGTGTGTGTGTGTGTGTGTGTGTGTGTGTGTGTGTGTGTGTGTGTGTGTGTGTGTGTGTGTGTGTGTGTGTGTGTGTGTGTGTGAGAGAGAGTGTGTTTGAGTGTGTGTGTGCGTGCGTCTGTGTGTGCGTGCATCTGTGTGTGTGTGCGTGCATCTGTGTGTGAGTGCGTGTGTGTGTGTGAGAGCGTGTCTGTGTGTGTGCATATCTGTGTCTGTGCTTGATTATTCTATATTACATTATATATTATATATATTAATATAATATAATATATTTTAATGCAATATATTGCATAATACAGTTTCATATTACATTGTATTACATATCACATATATGCATGTATTATCACCATGAATATCCATTCGAAACCAAACCTATTATTTGTGAAGCAAGCAAAAGATTACAAAAAACAATGATAAAAAAAATATAAAAAGGATTACTAAATATTCATACAATCTTGCCAATAACTGTTACTCCTTCTTCTCTTGTAAGGCTAAAACCGTCCCCACTACAGATTTTTATGAGACTGTTTTTACATCTTGAACTCTCTTGCTTGCAAGTACTCGAAAGGTGCTCTTCACACAAATAAAATAAAACCTATCCCATATTCAAAGCATAAAAATTACTGAGCAAGCTAGGTCTAGCAGAGTAACCCATTCACGACGGGTAAAAAGGAACAAAAAATGGGGAAAATGCTGTGCTCATTTTTTATATTTTTTTGTGAAATGTCTCTACACTAGATAGCTCTGCCTTACCTGATTTCACCTTTACTTGAATTAGCGGGAAAATGTATTTTTACTAGTGCTATGAATATCAATGATTATTTTTATTGTAAACATCATAATTACTCTAATGTTATAAACATTACTAACCCCAAAATAAAATAACGTAAAATATTATTGTAAATTAAAGAAAAGGCGAGACAGGCAGTACAAGTACAAGTACAAGTGTAGCCATCTATGTGTGAAAACAATTAAACAAGTAAACTCACAGTGGGCATGTCACGTATACGTGACACCTGGCGCGAATGGGTTAAAAAACTAGAAATGAGATATGTACAACTGAAAGTTCATACAGCGGCCAATGGGCTGTGGAGTGACAGTGCTTAGCAGGGTGGCCAAAACACCAACATATCTGACACTGGTGGGAGAGTGGTTGATATGGTCAAACAGGGTAGGACTCTCCACCAACATAAATTTCATGGGGCAGGTCATGTCTACGCAAGGTAATTTTGACAATATTGGTATAAGACTTTTGGCAGCCTCTGTGGGAACAGTGTGGCACTGTCTGACTGATCATTGTTGTAGTCAGGGCAGTTAGCTGGGGAGATGGAAATAGTTCCAGTACAGATATTAAGGGAAGAGTTGAGGGTGGGCAGGAATAGATTTGCCACTGAAGTCAGTGTGGGTAGATAATATACAAGATTAACCCATTCGCGACAGGATGTCACGTATACATGACATGCCCAAGTGTGAGTTTACTTACTTAATTGTTTTTATACATAGATGGCTACACTTGTACTAAAATATCAATGAGCCAATTATGAGTACTGCCTGTCTTGCCCATTTACCCTTTTCTTTAATTTATGAAAATATTTTGCGTTATCTTATTTTGCTATTACTATTGTTTATAACATTATAGTAATTATAATGTTTATAATAAAAATAACACCATTGATATTCATAGCACTACTAAAAAATACATTTTCCCGTCAATTCAAGGAAAGGTGAAATCAGGTAAGGCAGAACCATCTATGTGTAGAGACATTTCACCAAAAATATAAAAAATGAGCACAGCATTTTCTTCATTTATTGTTCATTTTCCCCGTTGTGAATGGGTTAACTGTGACAAGGCAATCAGAATGGCTGAGGAAGCCTTTTACCCTTTCTATACTGTTCTCAAATATAAGGAAGTGGACAGAAGAAAAGGAAAGGGGCACAGGAAATGAGCTAATTCTCCATCTCCTAAGCCGCCTACCCCTCAGCAACAATGGGCATGGTATTGGATATGAACTTAGAACACAATCCCTGTACTAACCAAGGACCACTATGCCTGAAATCT